CCCCCCGGCGCCGCCCCCCCGGCCGTACCTGCGCAGGCAGCTCGGCCGGGGGCTCGGCGGCCGGGGAGAAGACGTGGGCAGAGGAGCCTCCTCTCTCCATCGGCGCCGTCTGCGGAGCGAGGCCTGGGTGGGAGGGCTCCTCCAGGGCCAGTATGTCTATGGGGGCCTCGGCAACGTCTCTGAGGGACTGATCGAGGGCCACGGAAGGATCGAAGAGCAGAGGGGACGGGGGACACTGCATGCCATCGCCCACCACGTCCAAGTCCTAGGAGAGAACACAGCGGGAGCGGCTCAGCAGCAGGAGGGGGCCCGAGGAGCCCCGTGGGAGCCAGCGCGAGCCCTTGCAGCCCTTCTCTGCTGCCCCTCAGCAGCGGGGCGGGAGCGGGCAGCAGGCTGCTCCGCTGCTTTACAGGCACGGGAGGAGGAAGGCAGAGCAGCGGGCACCGTGCCACGGAGCAGCGGGCACCGTGCCACCAGGAACCCCAGCCTCGGCAGCTGGGAAGGCAGCTAGGGGGGCCGCCTCCTGCAGAAACGGCGTGATCCAGGCTGGCAGCGCTGCGCCCCCGCTGCAAGCAAGGTGCGGGGCACAAGGTCCGGAGCCCAGCACAATATGCTACCCCAGAAGCATCCCCGTAGCAGCCAGGAGGGCTGTGAAAGGGTCCGATCCTGCCCTCCTCAGCACACCCGGAGCAGTCACCCCGCTCCCAGGATCTCACACAATGCTCTCTGCTTGCCCCGACACAACGCATTGGCGCGGACGGTCTCTGGCTTACTCCTGCTCGCTGCCGTCTGCTGCGTGCGTGGATAACCCCGCTGACGCGAGAGGCTGGGATTCCTGCGAGGCTTTTGTTAGCGGCCGGGGTTTGTTTTGGCTTCGGAGGGTGTTTGACATCAAGGCGAGATGCCTGCGACTCACGAGTGGCACTCTACCAGCCTAGCGTGACGCGAGATAAAACACAGCTGCCCTCCGCAGCCGTACGCTGCTGTGGCTCCGAATCCCTCCGAGCCGAGGACGGAGGGTGCCGCAGGGTGCCCGCGCACGGCTCGGGGTACAGGGCAGGAGCGAGGCGCCCGGGTTCCTGCCTGAAGCACCCGAAACCCCACAGAGAACAGGGGACCCTCTCGAAGGACAGGCTGGAGGAGAGGAACAGTTACGTTTTTCATGTCTGACCTGAAAAAAACCCCCACCTCCCACAAAGGCTGTTTTCAGAGCGCGGCGTGCCGGCTCGGCCCCACGGGAAGGAGGGCTGGGAGCTGGGCCGGTGCCCGCCGAAGGCAGGGGGAGCGTTCCCCCGGCCCCGGGGGCGCTGGGCCCAGCCGGACCCCGCTCGCTCTCCCGTGGTAACGCTGTGGCTGGCGCCCCCCCCGGGGCTCTGGCGATCCCCCCTCCATCAGCAAGCTCCAAAGTGGTTGCGAGGTTTGCCTCCTGAAGGCAGTGCTCAACAATCTCGGGGGCATCCGAATGCTAAAGCAAGCGACGCCTCGTTCAGAGGAGCAGCTCCAAACGACCAAGCTATTTTTTTGTTTAAATAAATTTCAGAGGATTTTAAGCACGTAGGCTTAACATGCATGCAGGGCATCAGAATAATCTGGGGATTAAACTCCTCATATATTCCTCATGGAAGAGGAGAGGGGAAAAAAAAAAATCCTCTTTTTAAAAAGCCCCTAAATACGGATTTAAATGAGAGCACAGCCCACCTAAAGGAGCAGTCACCAACCCTACAGAAACAAACATCTCCCAAACCTTTTGCACTCCTGCCCGTTCTTCAAGAGACTCTCCTTCCCCAAGCCAGCAGGAATAAAAATAATTCTACATTATCTGTGCTGGGGAGGCAGCGCTTTACACGACATCCATGCACGCTCCACAGAGAGCGCCGGGTCTGCCGCACTGCAGCTCGCTCCACCGGTTATTTCCGTGCGACCGCACGGCGTGTCACGAGAACAGCAATATTCGGGGGAAGCTTTTTTGCAGGAGACCACGGCCTGAAGCCCACTGCCCCACTTACATCGCTGAACTCCAGGGGCAAGCTCTCCGTGGGCTGGAGCTCAGCGGCGCTCAAGTACAGGTCCGTGGGGGCAGCTTCCAGCTCCTCGGGGACGGCCAGCGCCTGCTCGGGGACGTACATCTGCGGAGGCAAGCGGAGATGGAGCGGGCAGCACGGATCCTCGGAAAGGCTCACGGGAACCGGTTTGTTGCAGGGCACCTCCTCGGAGCCTTGACACGGTTTAAAGAGAGTCTGGTTAGTGTCCTGGCAGATGTCTGGGGAGATGCGGTCAAGGGAAACCTGCAGAGCAGCCAAGCTACAGACAGACACGCATCCAGAGGCATAAATGCTCCTCGCTCACCCGCCACCCTCCAGCAAACGGGGCTGAAAACCCCGTTCGCTTCTCCAGGATCAGGAGTCCAGACTCCCGAGTCGCACCCCAACCGCCTGGCAACGCGGGCCACGTTGCTTGCGTGATGGAAACGGGGACGAGAGCGGCAGCCTCCCCGTGGGGGCTGGGAGACGGAGCTGGATCCCTGTAAAGCACTCGCAGATCCTCAGATGGAAGATATTACAAATGCACAGGCTTACTTTTATTTGCAGACATCCATTTAAAAGGCGTCTGCACAAGCCTTAACATCTAACGTGCAGCGGAGATACGAGCACACACAATGCTTTTTCCACAGCCAGGAGTTTAGTTCCGGTATTTCTATCTTCCCACTGCATTTTCCTTCCCAATGGAAAACCTATTCCTGCCAGAGGTGTAAATGGGATTTCCTGCCTTTAATCACAAACAGAAACTCTGCTCCAATTGCATCGGGCTTGCAGGGCAATGCACCAGCAGAGAGTAGCTACAGAGCAAATCCCAGCCTCTTCCAAGAGCCCTGCGCAACCACAGACGGGCCCACCGCCCAGGCTGCCCGAGGGCCCGCACGAGCGACATTTTACTGACGGTCGTGAAGCTTCTCCTTATGCTGCAAGGAACGGCTGAGATTGTGTCACCAAGAGAGCAGAGCGAGGCACGACCTCCACGCAGGTGACGCTCCGGAGCTGGGGCCAAAGCGGGTTTCAGGAGCAGATCGAGTCTTTCAGGTCAGATACCTCCATATCGAACCCACCCAAGTAACTACCCAGCCGTCCTCGACGTTTGTGGGGTTCACACCCCCGTCTCCTTTTCACACAGCGCAGTGTGGGAGAGGAAAAAAACCCCCAAACCCAGGCAAACTGGCAAAAGGCGTCAAGTTTAACCCAGTTCCTTAAGCCGTCTAGGTTTCAGATTTATCCTTTCCTCCTCTCCTCCCTGCACCGAGGCGGCTGCGAACGCGCCGCTACGACTTCCCGGCAGGCTGCGGGAGCCCGTCGTCTGTGCTAGCAGCAATGGTAGGGAGCCCAGCCCAGAGGAGCCAGATCTCTCAGACACTCGAGGGCAGATGCGGTGAGGAAAGCGTCTCTGTATGAACAGCAGGGTGGGGAAGCCAGATTTTAATCTCTCTGAATGACTCCCAGATCAAGCGTTGACTTTATTGGTAGCCAAAAAGCATGGATTGCCAAGATGACAAAATCACACGCTCCACCTGGAGCCCAACAGCCCAGCTGCGTTCGCTCCCTTTAATGCATTGTCACAAACAATCCAGCTCCTGAAAAGCAAACAAAGCCCAAGAGCCTCCTGACAATGCACAAAGCCGAGCAGACTGCAGATGTTATCGGCTCAGCAGGGCTAACCAAAGTAAGATCTTGTTTGTGTCAGTGAAAGTCAGCTGACAGCTCAGACGTAAGGAAATCAAACCTCGCTTTTTCCACTCCCTTCTCGGCCTGCCCTGCTCAAAGCGAGCCAGCTGCGCACAGCGACTTGCTCAAACCGTTTTATAGGTATTTATCCTGTCTTTATTTTGCAGTATACGGTCACTAGAGAGAAACAAAGGCAGCTTCCTGCTCCCCGGGCTGCTCCCTGCGCATAGCCGGAGTCGAGTCTGCCAACTGCAGTCACAAAACAAAACAAAACAAAACGAAGAGCTCAAAATGAAGAGCTCATCCTCCCCCTGGCTGCCAGCTCTGCTCTGGGACCCAGCGCCGGAGCCTCTCCTGACTCACACCAGCGACGGCTGCTAACGCAGCTCCGACACGATCCAAACCTGCTCCTGGACACATCCACCCAATCCCGCTCGGACAAGAGCTGTGCAGATGCAGCCGGGGCAACGCTGGGTTCGTGGATCCCACGTTGGGGCGGCGATCCCTGAGCTGGGGGGATCCCAGTGGAAATTTCAGGGCTGGTCCTCAAAAAGCCAAGGCCGTTGCAGGAGGTCAAACAGCTCGGGGCTGTTCACACACACGTGTGCGAACCTTCCAAGGAGTAAAAGGAGACTGCGCTGACCCAAACAGGCTAGGAACTACTCCCTCATCCGGGTCCTCCCAAAAATCACTGAGCACGTGCTTCGGCAGTCAGACACCCTTTCCTCAAACATCCCTCGCAGCAGGACTCGTACCGAGAGCTCCCAGCCCCTGCTCAGGATGGCTGCTGGCACCCAGCCCCTGCAGCCAAGCCGAGAGCAGACCTGCTTCTACCCCCTTTTCACGCAGCCAGAAACTCGTGCCTCCCTCAGGCTTCGTGAGATTCCCTTGGCGCTTCCCAGTGAACCAGCCACCCCGTTCGGACGCTCTGGATCGGCCAGCGTTCCACAGGGAGGCTGCAGCGGGACCTGCCCGGGCAGAGGCGAGGGCAAGCCCAGCTTTTTGTCGCTCCCACACGAATTGGCCGTTCCACGGGGACGGGAGCGCCAACAGACCGGGAGACGTTTCCTCTGGGCTCCTGTTTGAAACCAACGGCTACAGCAAACCGATGGCCTTGATTTAGGGCCAAAGAGAAAAAAGGAGGATCAGCCACACTTCCAACTGTCAGGAACGCAGCCCGGGCAGATCAAAGGATACGCATAAGGCAGTGCCTGGTCATCGGGAGGGACTGGTTGGAGCATCGGACGTCGTCGACAAAGGCCAAGCACCTCTGGCTGGAGCGGGTGGTGTGCGCCTGCAAGTCCAAGAGAAGAGCTCAGAGCCGCGCTGGAGAGTCGTCCGGCTCTGTTCCAGAGAAACCCCCTCGGCTATACAACACTTGCGTCCTGCCTTCAAAACACGCCAAGACCAAACTCTCAGTTCCACTCCAGCAGAGCCTCGCTCCTCATTATGTCCTTCCCATTCAAGCTTTTATTAAACAGAGCTGAGATAATAAGGCACAACCCGATTTCAGTAGGAAGGACTTCACCTCGGAAGCATGTCTCGAGGAACGAGGTTTCTCAGACTTATCTTTCGACGTTCAGAAGTCAGCTAAGGGAATGCTTTGAATTTTAAAACGGTTACAAAGAAACGGCTGCACACCAGCTTCACATTTAGTTTCATGTGTGATGCGAGGGGCCTGCCTTTGGGTCCCCCCCAGGTCTAGGAGAGGTCTGGGTTTCACCACTGTAAGGAGTATTTTCCACTTATTTTTCAGTGACGAACATCAGGCCACCTTGTACTGAGCCCTCCCTTGCAAAAGGGAAAATTCTCCAACCCCACACTTTAACTTTTGCAGTTTTGGTGCCCATTTAAAACGACTCTAGGAACCCCCAATGTTTCAGCCAAGGCGGGGATACCGAGGGTGCTGGCCAGGACCAGATCTTCACGGCCTTGCAGGAAGGGTGTTACAAGGGGCGATCCGGCAGGGCCAGAGCGGACCTGGCCTGGGATCGCTCCCAGGAAGGGATGAGAGAGACCCAGCGAGGCCGTAACTCGGCCGTACCCGGTTCCCGAGCTGCTGGACGCACCTGCTGGGCAGCGCCGTCGGTCGCCAGCATCCTGCGCTCCTTCAGCTGCCGGTGGAGCAGGGCCTCCACGCCGTAGCGCTGCCGGTAGCGGCGCAGGCACTTCAGGCGCTTCAGGTTCTCACGCTCCTTGGCCATCAGCCCCTCCGGGCCCGTCAGAAGGCTGCTGCCTGCGGGGAGCAAGGGAGGGGTCAGAAAATACCACCCCACCTGCCACATCCTCCCATTTTTTTTTTGGTATCGAGAGCCAAAATCAGCTGTTGAGAGCTCCAACAGCTGGCTAACGACACAGACGTCAACACGCGGAGGCAACGAGCAGCGAGAGTCGCACGTATAAATGGGAAGCACATCTTTCGCTTACATAAGAGGATGACAAAGCAGACTTATCCCAACTGCTCTGTGCGCACAAGGAGCCAACTGAATATTTTTAAGCGCCTTTTTAAAGAATTTGGCCACTCCAAAGTCTATTGTGATTTCTGCAGGCAGAGTAGCAGTTTGTCAAATTTCAGCTTGCTCCTGTGCAAGTTCTAGAAGCTTCCAGTAAGCACTCCCAGCCGTAATTACAGGGCAACGCTCAGGATCTGCTCTTCTATTACTGGTTTGCTAAAAAGAGTTCTGCAAAATTGTTATGTACCAAATTTCCAGTTATTTTTATTTGAGATTGAGCCATATTATGCCATTTTCCAGGATGAGCTATTATAAGACTATGCTAGGGAAAGCATTCTTTGCACTGCGATACTTGCAACCAGTTATACAACGTGGTTCGGCCTCTGCTGAACTACGAACTCCTGCCTCCAAGAGCACGTTCTGTACAGGGGGAAATCCAACCGAGGCAGAAGTGCTTCTGCAAGGGAAAGCTGCATCTGCGCTAAGGAGGAGTATGTCCTTACGGCAGTACTGGTGTAACGACCGAAACAAACTTTTGCCGATACAGACAGGACCTTACAGATGAATAAATTTTTTGTTTATAAAACGAAAAACAGGAAATCCCATACAAAAAAAGAACTTCTGCCTCAGAATTAACTTTGTAGTCTCATTTCCTGACAACACTGCAAACTTTGAAGAGCAAAGAAATCCGGCAACCTTTCTAACCCAAACGATACCAATCTCCAGGCACAAGGCCAGCCACAGAAATACCTTCTCTAGCTGAGTTTCAGTCCTAGGGTAATTCTCACCCTTACTGAGACAGCCCTGCTCTGAAATCTGCTTCTACAAAGGGGAAAAAAACCCGTTTTTTTTAATGTAGAGTTCTGTATGTGTTTTTAGAGGAGCGCTGTGCCCTCGCCCAGATGAATACGGATCAGTGACTACCTGTACCAGTACTTGCCTAGGGCCTCGTGTTCTCCCTTGCAGCTGTGCAGGTATCGGCGCTTCTTCTCCTTCAGAAGGTGCTGGAGTCGTTTGAACTGGTCAATGTAGAGAGACTGCAGGCGGATCAGCTTCTCTCGCATGATCAACGCCACCTCCTCAGCCGTGTATACGCCAGCATGCCTGAAAGACACCCACACAAACAGGGTGAAGTTTCTAAGGGTCCCTCGGGGCTGTTCTCCTGACCGAATGACACGAACGTCATCAGAAACAGGGGCTGAGCAGGGCTGGATTAGACAGAACAATGGATGACGAGCAGAAATACTGATCTTCACGGATTTATTTTTAATTTAAGAGATCACCCAGAGACTGCTGCTGAATGGACCACTCCACACTGAAAGAGGATGACCATCAAATGCCTCACAGAAGAACCACCAGGTCCAAGACTTGCGAGCATTCGCACCTAGCAACTCCCCAAGGCACAAAGTCCAATTAATAACGTCACCTCTTTAACGTAACTGCCATCTGCTCTGGTACCACACTGAGCTCAGAACGCTCTGCATGCTACGTGCGTGTAAGCAGCCTGCAGCCGCTGGCACCCAACTTACTTCAAGGGATCCTCCTGGTCGCTATCGATGCTGTCAGCCTCGCTGTCTGGGTCTCCTCGCCACGTCTGGTCCACTGTGATAGGGTCCTGCTCGCCATCGCTCCAGCTGTCCTCATCTGCAAAGACAAGTCACCCTGAGCGACAGGACACGGCCCGACGTCCCAGCGCTCGCTGCTCGGCACAGGGCAGCCGGGGACCCCGGGAGCTCGGCTCCACGGCCGCACGGAGGTGAACCAGCTCTGCCTCTTGCCAGGAGAGGCGTCTCCTCCCCCGCACAGCATGAGCGAGCGACACGGAACAACAGGAAACCCACCAACGCGGCGCAGCCAGAACACGCAGCTCCTGTGGAGCAACGCTCCTGCCCACCTAGGAACCACGAACTGCCGGCCGGCCCTGCCAAGCGACCCCGCGAGATGGGAAGCTCAGCACTGAGCCAGCGTTTGACAGGCACCGCTAGAGACTAACCCCGCAAAGAGGGAAGCTAGCTAACGTTTCTACTCTGCGACTGCAAGGGAAGAAAACCTGCAGGATTTTGGTCTGGCGGCGTGACTTGCTACAGTCAGCGGCAGGCGAGACACGCCAGGGTTTGCAGAACACCATCTTTTACCCACGGACCCCTGGGATCTTTTTTTCACTGGATTTAAGTGATATTCTTGGCTTTTCCACACAGAACAGAGAGCTCCAGGTCCTCTCTCCCTGGTTTTTGCTTTCAATTCTTACCTAGGATCCGACTGGCTTCGCTGCGGCTGCTCTCTGCGGTCTGGGAGCCCAGCTCTGTTTTGGCGTAAGAGCTAAGCTGGCAAAGGAGAGTCTCGCTTACAGGCCCAGGATTGGACTTCTTCATCTGAGCTTGGAGCGCCAGAGTGTTCCTACGGGCGTGCTCCGCACAGAACGACGCGCTGCGGGAATAAATCACAAGCTCATTACGACTCCAAGCCCTCAGCCAGCAAAAAGAACAAGCGATCCAGTGAGAAACGTTCCCTGGCGCCCGGAAAGCACATCCCCTCCACAGCGCTCTCACGGAGAGAGCCGCCGGCTGCAGGTACAGCTCAGAAATGCCAGAGAGCCCCGGGTGGCTCGCAGACCACACACCACCGCCGAAATGCCACCTCTGGTGCGGGAGCTGGCAGCAGCAGGGAGAGAAAAGAGCTTTTTACTTAAAGCCACTGAGGCGAGCTCTTCTGCTCCCAGCCATTCACACTGACTCAGTTTCAGGCAGAGCACGCTGGCCCACATTGGATGGATCCTTTTTATCGCACAGGGATCAAGGACGGAACGAAGACTACCAGTGTCCGCATCCCCGTAAATCTCCGCGAATGAAATGCGTGTGGATGCTCCCGTAAGGGAAACTGTGCTCTGCTGAGGTGCTTACTGGATGTCGGTAACTATTCTAGGTCCTTCCACCCATAGTGGTCAGAACATTTCATATGCATCAAAGAACGAAAAGCACAACCAGGCCATCCACTCCACGTAACACACGACCAGAGCATCTGTGCTGAGGATTATCCATAAGCACAGACAGCGGCAAGTTAAATCTGCTGGGCTGAGCGGAGGTACGGCACCGCGTGGGCGCACGTACAGCTCTTACAAAGGACCTGGATCGCTGCAGCCACCTTCTGATGGCAAAGGGCAGCAGCCCGACAGTCGGGCAGGGCCAAGAGGACTCCACACAGCGTCCAGCACTCACAGAGTCTTTTTCTAGCTTAAAAACGCTTCAGAAACAGGGAGCCGCTTGTCTGAGGTAACGCAAGTGCAGCAGCTGCATCAGGAGAAGGACCTTCTCCTGCCTGTTTTAATTCTGCGTGGTACAGACCCGGAGAACCAGGAGACAGAGGTACTCACCCATCCTTCTTCTCTGGTTTGGGCGCAGCGTTGGGACACCGCTTTCCATTCTTTGTTGAAACGTAGCTGCACTGCTTGAAAGGGGCGCTCCTGTCTTCGAGAATGTGCTTAATACAGAACTCCTGCCCCTCCAGCCGCGGCTGGGAGCACTGGCGGTGGGTGAAAGCACATGACAGAGGCTCCTGCGGCCGCGGCACAGGAGTGAGGCGTCCTCGGCTTGACGGCAAAACATGGATCCGAATTCTGTTCATGCCAACACCTGCTTGAGAGACGCAAACCAGTTAAAAGAAATGAAACAAACTACTGATAAAAAGAAAGAGAAGCAGCATCTGCTAACACCTACTAACGCATCTGAATAAAACTCTTTAACCCCCTTGAATGAAGTTGCTCCTATAGAGACAGTTTCTTCCACGTCTGGGGAAACTCTGAGCTTTGCAGCAACCCCGTTTTTGCACAGAACGAAACACACGTCACTCACCCGAGCCACCAAGGAGCAACGTCCATGCCAAGGTGCAGGCACAAGCGCTGCTGCCTGCCAGCACCGTGGCCGGGGGGGGGACGCACGGACACACGTCCCAGAGGCACCCCTCTACGCCCACCGCCCCAGCGCAGGACCCTTTCCTACCAGTGCTGGAATCCCACAGCTCCGCACCCTCCCGGGGCCCCCCACTCCCCTCCACACAGGGCCCCCCAGCCCCATTACGCCCAGTACAAACCCCGTTCCCTCCTGGCATCGCCCGGCCCCTGCGGCCCCCTCCTCAGCAGGCACCCTCTCCCAGCCCTGCCCCTCTCCACGCTTCCCGCAGCCCAGCGCTGCCCAGCCCCGCACCCCTCCTCCCCGTCCGCAGCTCACTGCCCAGTACAGGATCCTTCCCTCCCAGTACAGCACCAGTACAGCCCCCCCATGCAGCTCCCGGTGCCCAGCCTCCCGGTGCACGGCCCCCTGCTCCCGGTGCCCATGCCCATCCCTGCTCCCGGTGCATCCCAGTGCCCATGTCTATCCCCGCTCCCGGTGCATCCCGGTGCCCATCCCCTGCTCCCGGTGCACGGCTCCCTGCTCTCCGTGTCCATTCCCCGCTCCCGGTGCATCCCAGTGCCCATGTCTATCCCCGCTCCCGGTGCATCCCGGTGCCCATCCCCTGCTCCCGGTGCACGGCCCCTGCTCTCCGTGCCCATCCCCTGCTCTCCGTGTCCATTCCCCGCTCCCGGTGCATCCCGGTGCCCATCCCCGCTCCCGGTGCATCCCGGTGCCCATCCCCTGCTCCCGGTGCA